CACACACACACACACACACACACACACACACACACACACACACACACACACTACCCTTACGAACGTCCTTCATAAAATCATTATAGACTCAAAGACGTTGAAATACTTCGACGATGTTGCTGTCATTGAGTTTAATTTGACACTGAATCGACATAATCACGGCTACATCGGGCCACAAGACACGCTTTTGTGGGTGGTTGGCGGGTGCTCTGGTGTGGTTTGCCTCTTCTTTCCTATCAAACATATATCGTCCTTATCACTCCTTCTTCCGTTTTATGTTTGTTACTCTCTTGTTACACTTTTAATCTTCTGGCGCTCATATATAACCTTATTCAGTTGCGAGCGCCGTAAAACTTCTATTAAAACAAACAATACACGCTGTACATAGACAGACTGACAAACAAACACAGACGTTTCCCACAATTCCTCACACATCACATCCAGTGACCTCCCACGGAAGCTTAAATTAATCACCGGCAAGCTCACTGAAAACTGCTCACTCAGCACATATTTAGGGCCCGCTATCGGAGGGCGGCTTATGTAACAGCTGAGGTAACGGCCCGCTGTGATGAGGGGGTTAATAGGCCCTGTTGAGGAGGGGGGGGGGGGGGGGGGAGACACGGTGGGGCGTACTGAGCTGAAGGTCCCGGGAAGGACAGCTGATGAAAGAAAGAGTGAGCAGGATTGTCCAGAGATGAGGGAAGGAAAAGAAAAGACGAAGGGTGGGGGAGGGTTGAAGTGAGGGCAGAGTCCTTGGGAGGACAGCTGAAAGAAAGAGTAAGAGGGGGCTCTCGTGGTCGAGAGGTTACAGTGTTTGCCTCTCATTCAAGAGGGCCCGGATTCGATCCGGATAGCGACGGGGAAAAAAATTCTGTAAAATTTTCTCCTTTCACTTTCTTTCCTGCTCCCTAACAATGTTCTGTCGTCTGCTTTCGTCTCCACCTTTTACCCCCTTCCCCTCACCCTCCACTTGCTCTGGGCTCCTGGCTCTTTCTACAGACTTTTTACTGCTACTCCTTGGCTCCTTCTTACTGCTGTCGTTCAGCCATACCCCTGATCTCATGGTTGGTAAGATCGAACACCTAGCCTTCTCGTATAAAGGCGAAAAATCTCGGATAACTTGAGAGTAAGCTTTAAGTTTAAGAAAAGCTGTAGATAGTTATTTTAGAGTAATATAAAAGATGATTTATTGATGACAATTTGGGGAAAAAAAGACGAAGGGAAAAGATAAAATTGCTGATGATAAATGCAGCAAGCAGCTGGAGCGAAAACAAATATAGAGATAATAATTTCAGAGTAAGCTAAAAAGGAAACAAAAAAGATAAAGATAAAGATTACGGATAATAAGTTAAGATTAAGCTTTAACAAGAATTATGCATTATGTGTTAAAAGTTCAGAGTAAGCTAAAAAAAAAAATAATAATAAATAAATAAATAAAACATTATATTATGTGTTATTTGTTAAAAGTTCATAGTGAGCTAAAAAGAAGTACAAATGTTCAGGTGAAATGTTCCGAGTAAGATAACAAAGGTGCAACTTGTGCCGGCCGCGCCAAGGTATATCAGCACATGGTACAGGAACTGTTAGTGCGTGGTTGGCGGGCAGGGGCGGCTCGTGGGGCTAAAAAGTGGGCGTGCACAATAAAGCTATCGCATGCTGAAGATAGTCAAGGACTGGGTAAATGAGACGGTGTATAATTTTAACATCTTTGGGTTGGTGAGGGAGGACTTCGTGCTTTTATTTTCAGTCTTTTTAGTTGCCGCTTTGATATCTAGTACTAAACTTGTCTGTTAGCTAAACATCAGTCTCTTTCATCCTATATTGGAACTGAACACTCAAGTTCAAGTGATAACTTTCACTACTCCACTACAAAACCATTCAAAACTCACAGGACGGTCTCATTCACCTCCCTCAGATTCACGGTCACAGAGTCACTTAAAATAGTGGCAAGACAGACAATGAACCAATCACAATTTACTTGAGCACTTCGCTGGATTGCTCCGGGGCTTACATAATACTGGCAAAGAAACGCGCACGGTCTATCGCATTTATTTTTAGACTGCCTACTGTGGGCTATGTTTCGGCACTATTCGGCAGGAGCACATTTGAGATGTGTCGTCCTATTAATATTAATGTACCACCAAACTCGCTACGAGTGTCGTCATCGCTTGGGTTATCCCCAAGAGCGATTTTTAGGTCAGGATACAGTGTTGAATATCCTATTATGTTTAGCTAAAGTGCGAGGACTTTGGCATGGCATAGTAGATGTTTTATGGCGCTTTTGACACAGAAACGACAGTTATGGTGCCAGTGAGGACACGTTATCCCGATAGATATTTGATAGGAAAGAAAGAGCAAACCACACACCAGAGCACCCGCCAACAGGCACGGTTCGTCCATAGAGCATGGTCGTGCAGTGCCGCCCAAAAATGTTAAATGTTCTATGACGTAAAACACCCACAATAATAAAATAAACGAAGCCAGAAACAAACACGTTGTGGTCGATCTAAGCCTCTTTTTCTGGCTTGTCAAAAGGCGACTTGGAGAAACAAACATTTCATGGAAAGCTAAGTGAGAGGTTTGTTTTCTTGTAGTAGAGGTTTTACGGCGCTCGCAACTGCATAAGGTCATATGAACGCCATATGTGAGAGGTAAATCCTGCTCCTGGACAACAGTGGTCTACGCTTTAAGGTTAATAACGCAAGGAAAACGAGAACCACTACATTATTCCGACCTTGAATTAGTAAGTGAAACAAGAACACACTGGAGGCGCCCCCTCCCACTCCACCCCACCCAATTTTGCCATTGTCTTCCTCAACCCCGATTTCCTACCCCTTTATC